TCTTTTCTATATTTTACTAGGTTTTCTTTCTTCTATTACGTTTCTTTCCTTTTTTTCACGCTTTTATTATCTTCTACGTCGTTTTCTTTTTTTCGTTCTTTACTTTTGATTTTCTCTTTGTTTTTCTTTCTTCCATTCTTTTCTTCATTCATTCAACTAATATTTCCCTCTTTTTTTGTATCTTTCTCTTCCCTATATCTTCTTTCCTTCTTTTTCTCTTCTTTTTTTCATTCTTCATCTTTCTTCCCGTTCTTCAGTTATTTACTCTATTTACTCTCTTTTGCGCTTCGTGTATCAAACTTTTGACCAAGGACTGTTTCAGCTTTCAAGAGTCTTCATCACCGTTCGATAGACATTTCCAAGGACTCTTCACGCTTGAGAAATAAATAAAATTCTAAAGACAAATCATATCCCACCTTCTCCTCAACAAAAGGATTCATCGATATTCAAACTCGTTCAACTCCCGACATCGTCTTCATAGATGCTAATTCTTTCACGTTTCAAATTCAAGTACCGGACTTGTCAGCATTCCGATACCTAAACCATATAAAATTCAGTGTCGTTCTTACAATCACGAAAACCACTTAATGATTGAATTAAGAGTGAACCTAGTGTGTCATAATGGTATATATATATATATATATATATATATATATATATATATATATATATGAGAGAGAGAGAGAGAGAGTACTGGTAATAAATATGTTGGTATATAATCCAAATGGATCTTAGTAATATTAAATATTAAAATTGATCCACAAAAAGAGCTCAATATATTTATTATAACAGAACATATAAATAGTATTACATAACAAAATCCAAAATTATCTCATATCAGGTGATATACCTATTTTAAACGACGAAACTACGCCAGTCTTATTCAACCCTGGTGTATAGACAATATATATATATATATATATATATATATATATATATATATATATATATATATATATATATTGTGTGTGTGCGCGCGCGCGCGTGTGTGTGTGTATGTGTGCCAGTGTGTGTGTGTTTGTAAACTATTGAGTCAGGAAACACCTAGCAAGTTTTCACCTTACGGATATTCTTGGTAAACTGTTTATATATATATATATAGATAGATAGATAGATAGATATATAGATAGATATATAGATATATAGGGTGGCCTGATGATTGCTTTTAGCATGAAACAGCCTGTCGCCTCTGAATGTTGTCGTCAATGTTCACTTTTATATTTACATACGCTCTATCTCTGACATTGAGAACTTTATCCCATAAATATAGCACATCTTCAACCTATATTTCTTCATATATATATATATATATATATATATAGAGAGAGAGAGAGAGAGAGAGAGAGAGAGAGAGATTGTAGGCTAAAAGTTTGGGACCAACCATGCTTTGAATTTACCAATAAGTCATTTTCATACCTTCTCTGAATTAATTAAATCTGACTAAGTCTGAAATCTAAAACTATCTGAAACATTACCTAAAATATGAAATCTGTAACTTCTAAGATAATCTTTATCCAGCAAGGTAGATTAGGAAAAAAGTTTAAGAAAACTTTATGGTGTGATGCTTTAATCTCTTTATTGTTGTTGTTATTTTTATTTTATTTCTTTTGGTTTCTGGTATGTACTCATTTCTTTCCGGGTCCCAACCAGAGACCTAAGGTCAGTAATGTCATCATGATATTTTCCACTGATCATTTTTGTAAAAATATCACACAAAAAAATCGATCACACACAGTTTAAATAAATAAAGCTCTTCAAAAAGTGTATAATTGTGAGTACAATTTTTGAATTTCTTTAAAGCATGGGCTACCAGGAATCCCTTTAATGAGTTTATCGAAACATTTACCAATCAATCTGAGGGTTCCAACTACAACTGGAATCATTAATGTCATCATGGGTCACATTTTTTAGATTTCCACTTCAAGATCCTTTGAAGTGGAAATATTATTATTATTATTGTTTCATTTTATTTTCGTTTCTGGTGTATATTCATTTCTTTCCAGGTTTTGACCAGAGACCAAAGGTTAGATATGGCATCATGACATTTTTCACTGAGTAGTTTAAAAAAAAAATCACACATATTTTACATAGATAAAGCCCTTCGTAAGGTGTGGGCTGTACTTGTGAGTACATTTTTTTTGTATTTCTTTAAGGCATGGGCTACCAGGAATCCCTTCAATTATTCTAATGGAATCTTTTCCAATCATTCCGAGGGCTCCAACTACAACTCGAATTGTTGACGTTCTCATGTGCCTCATTTTTTGGGATTTCGATTTCAAGGTCCTTGTATTTTGTATTTTGAAGATCTTCAAAGATACATTGCAGTCTACATGGACTGCCATGTCAATATGGAGCCACATCTTGTCTCTCCGGTCTCCAATCCCGATATCAGGTCGATTACCTTTGATTATTATTATCATTATTATTATTATTATTATTATTATTATTTTCTTTGATTTTCTGGCGTTTACACATTTCTTTCCGGGTCCCGCCCAGGGACATAATGTTAGAAATCATGACACTTTCCACTGACAAAAGAAAAAAAGATTACATAGATAAAGACCTTCGTAAAGTGTGGACTGTACTTGTCAGAACAATTTTTTTGTATTTATTTGAGGCATGGGCTTCCAGGAATTCCTTCAATTAGTCTACTGGAATCTTTTCCAACCAATCCTAGGGCTCCAACTACAACAGGGATTGTTGATGTTCCCATAAGCCACATTTTTGAGATTTCAAGGTCCTAGTATTTTGACAGCTTTTTGAATATCTTCAAAGATACATTGCAGTCAGCAGGGACTGCCATGTCAATAAGGAGGCACCGTTTTTGTTTGTGGTTTTTAATAACAATATCTGGGCGGTTGGCCTTGATTGTTCTGCCAGTGTGTATTGTGTAGTCCCATAGAATTGTAACAGGTCCTATCTCCGTAACCGGGTCTGGGTGGTGTTCATACCAGTTTCTTTCAGTTTCGTATCTATAGAAGTTGCAATTTTTCTAGTGCAGATTTTGGCCCATTCTGTCATACCGGGTTTTATATTCAGTGGGTGTCAATATCGTGCAATCTGATACAAGATGATCAATTGTTTCTAGATATTTATCACAGAATCTGCATTTTTGGCTAATACAATACTTTAGTATATGTGCTTCATAATTCCTAGTGAGCAAGCATTGGTCCTGCGCAGCAAGGATAAAACCTTCAGTTTCAGCTTTCAACCCTGCACTACGTAGCCACTGATGGGTACGGGTTTCGTCTACGTCAGCTTGTTTGGTACGGGCAGAGTATTGGCCATGAAGCGGTTTATCTTGCCAGTGTTTCTGTATCTGGTCGGTTGCATTTGTCTTTGCTCTCTCTTTTTAAGTATTTTGCAGCTTCAACCGGTGCATTGTGCTTTACTTGTATTTCTGCGCCCATTTGAAACTCCATATTTATTATTATTATTATTATTATTATTATTATTATTATTATTACTGCTGTTGTTTAGAATATTATATAAATCCTTCAGGAAGAGAAAGTCCTTCTATCCCGAAGTGTGATAGTAAAATAGTCATGAAAAACGCAAGCAACATTCAGTTTTCAGGCGAGTCTTTGAAATTTAAAGGTTGACACCAAACTTTTGGCCGATAGTATGTGTAAGGTTTATACCCAGTCATGGCTGCAATTAATGCAAAAGATGCTTCACCTGGTCTGTAGCACAAACATTACATAATACTGACATCGTATATGTAATTCGGACATAGTACTCCTGATTATACATAATTTAGACATAGTACACTTGATTATTCGTAATTTGGACATAGTAATCTTAGTAAGTGTGTAAATACCTCTTTTGGGGTAATTTCACATTTTCTTATCATCTCTCAGTTGCGTCTCTGTCCTTGGACAGAGTGCGCTCATGGGCTTCTCTGTCAAAGGACAGAGGGGCAACTGAGGAAAATTATACTGAAGAGGTACCCAGCCCTGGGGAACAGCTGCCCGAGGCCGCGCCCTCCCATTGCACAGGAGAGAGGGATCGGTGTTCGCACCGAGGCCAGCGCAACCGACGGTTGCGGGGGCTGTTGGGAATTTTTGTCCCTTGCCCGGGTGTACACGCACGGGTCCCCACATTAAACCGACCTTGTGTCACATCTTGTTCTAGTGGGGGAACGAGTAAATACCAATAATCTTTATTATACATAATTTGGACATAGTACTCCTGATTATATGTAATTCAGATACAGTACAACTGATTATCCCTAAATAGGACATAGTACACTTGATTATACATAATTCGGACATCGAAGCCATGATTATGCGCAATTCGAACATAGTACTCCTGATTATACGTAATTCGGACACAGTACTTCTAATTACACGTAATTCGGACATAGTACACTTGATTATTCGTAATTTGGACATAGTAATCTTTATTATACCTAATTTGGACATAGTACTCCTGATTATGCGTAATTAAGATACAGTACAACTGATTATCCCTAATTTAGACATAGTACACTTGATTATACATAATTCGGACATCGAAGCCATGATTATGCGTAATTCGAACATAGTACTCCTGATTAGACATAATTCGGACATAATACCTTCTTGATGTTAACGGTCTGGGAAAGGCAATCTCACAGGTTCACACAAGCCTTGTGAGTGAAATTGTATAGACAGAACGATTTGGGAGCCGTCGATGGTCGTCCGAGGAAGGTTTATAGACAATGTGACTGAAAAGGATTCTTATACTTTGAATGAGAAAGTGACAGTTAAAATTTCTGGGAGGCATAATAAGGAAAGCAGGCTTGGAGAATCTGACACTCACAAGAGGTATAGAAAACAGGAGGAACTGAGGAAAAAAGCGACTAGGTTACCTAGGAAACTTGTGTAAATTGCTGGCAGAAAAATAGAATTGGCGTGGAGCGAGGATTAACGGGACAAACAATTACTTAGATCTACAAAGAATGGGAAGTTGTAGAGGACCATGATCACTGAAGTCCTGAAAGGACGTGGCATATAAAA